TGTTGAGCATTTTTTCGTGTGTCGGTTGGCCATCTGGATGTCTTCTTTGGAGAACTGCCTATTCATGTCTGTTGCCCATTTCTTCACTGGATTATTTGTTTTTTAGGTGTTGAGTTTGGTAAGTTCTTTATAGATTTTGGATACTAACCCTTTATCTGATATGTTGTTTGCAAATTTCTTCCATTCTGCCAGTTGCCTTTTAGTTTTGCTGATTGTTTCCTTTGCTGTGCAGAAGCTTTTTATTTCAATGATGTCCCAGAAGTTCATTTTTGCTTTTGTTTCCCTTGCCTCTGGAGGTGTGTTGAGTAAAAAGATGCTGCGGCCAAGATCAAAGAGATTTTTGCCTGCTTTCTCCTTGAGGGTTTTGATGGCTTCCTGTTTTACATTTAGGTCTTTCATCCATTTTGAGTTTATTTTTGTGTATGGTGTAAGAAAGTGGTCTAGGTTCATTTTTCTGCAGGTCGCTGTCCAGTTTTCCCAGCACCATTTGCTGAAGAGACTTTCTTTATTTCATTGGATATTCTTTCCTGCTTTGTCAAAGATTAGCTTGCCATATGTTTATGGGTCCATTTCTGGGTTCTCTATTCTGTTCCATTGATCTGAGTGTCTGATTTTGTGCCGGTACCATACTGTATTGATGATTACAGCTTTGTAATACAGCTTGAAGTCCAGATACTTTGCATTCTTAAAGAAGAGATCTAAAAGGTTGCTGGAATTAAACTGTTGTGGGGCACCTGGGTGGCTCAATCGGTTAAGCATCTGACTCGATTTTAGTTCAGGTCATGATCTCAATGATCTTGTGGGTTTGAGCCCCAAGTCGGGCTCCACACTGACGGAGCAGAGCCTGCTTGAGATTTTCTCTCTCTCCCTCTTTCACTGCCCCTCCCCCACATGCATGTGTGTGCTCTCTTTCTCTTTCGCTCTCTCTCTCAAATAAGTAACCTTAAAAGGAAAATAAACTGGTGAGACCACAATTACTGTGAATTCACATAAGTGTAGAAATGCACAGGTGTGTTGACAATTAAAGGCCCAGCAGTCAAGAATATTATAGATATCCCCCAGTTTTCAAAAGCTTGTGTTACACACCCTGCTTTTACAAAAGACCTATATTTGTACCTGTTTTTGTTTTTTGTTAACCAAAGGAAATCTAAAGAGTACTTTCACTTTTATGAAAAAGGGTAAAAAGTGAGAATAGCATTCAGTGTTGGATTTGCACTGGGCCACTAAAGAGGCAGGGGATACTGTAGCAGTGAGAGTTGTCCTGCCAAACTTCTTCCCCCATGAACTATACTCAGCTTCCAGCCACCACAGCTTTGATCTTTGTGAGCATCTGTGCTTTATGTGCATTTATTTTGTGCATCCATTTCCATATAAATGAATGGTAATTGATTTTTCCGCTTTGTGCCATTTTAGCTTACGAAAAGTTTTATAGGAACACTACTTTTGGATAGTGGGGCAAACCTGTGCTTCTGAATGTGAGTCTCCTGTAGCCTTACACCTTTTCATGGATTGTTTCCTGGAACAGATTTTAAAGCCAGGAATTTATATTAATTAGTTGATGGATAGCAAGTAGCTGGTTTTTTTTGTTTGTTTGTTTTTAATTTTCATTTATTTTTGAGAGAGAGAGCATGTGGAGGAGGGGAAGAGAGAGAGGGAGACAGAGGATCAGAAGCAGGCTGTGTACTGACAACAGAAAGCCCGATGTGGGGCTCATACTCACGAGCTATGAGATCATGACCTGAACCAAAGTTGGACACTTAACTGACTGAGCCAACCAGGCGGCCCAAGTAGCTGTTTTAGAGGAGGTTTAGGGGCCTTAATTGGCGAAGAATCAGATGGGGATTAGTATAGAGTGAGAAAAGGAGATAGGCACGCTGACAGCCAAAGTGGTTTGGTGTTGGAGGAGGCTGGAGAATGAGGTGATGAAGGCCTACAGCCACAGGCAAGTAGTGAACTAGTAATGAATCCTTTGGGGACACCATGGAACCATCTTTTGAATGTGTGGGTCATTGCTAATTCACTGGCAGAGCAGGAACCGCTTCATTCAGTTTCTGACTTCAAGCTAGGAGAGGAACTGCAGCTTTAAAATTCTGGGGTCATTAAATGTCCATTGACTGATGAATGGATAAAGAAGATGTGTGTGTGTGTGTGTGTGTGTGTGTATACATACACAAAATGGAATATTACTTGACAATGAAAAAGAATGAAATCTTGCCATTTGCAAGATGGAAATGGAACTGGATGGAACTGGAGGGTATTATGCTGGGTGAAATAAGTCAGAGAAAAAAAATTAAATTCTGGGGTCATTTATTTCTGTCTTGTTGAGCCTGCAGCTTGTTCTACAGTACCTTGGTTTACTCTGCAATCTTAAGGCACTTTGGGAAACCATCAGTAAACAGCTTACACAGCCATGTAACTTTGTTCCCACAGGTAAACTGTGAGACAGATTTTGTTTCCAGAAATATAAAATTTCAGCAGTTGGTCCAGCAAGTAGCCCTGGGCACCCTGTTGCATTGTCAGAACCTAAAGGATCAGCTCTCCACATACAGTAAAGTGAGTTGTGGGGACTGTCAACATGCTGGGTTTGCACACACACCCCTTTCTTCGGGTCTTTGCTGTTCTCTTTTTTCAGACGTTCTCATGGGTCCCTTCCTTGCTTCCTGTTCCTGCTTAAATGTTCTCTCTTTGGAGAGGAGTATCATTCCTCCTGTTGCTCTATTCCCTTATTTTGCTTCATTTAAAATTTTTTGTTACATATTTACATACTGTGTTTTTATTTATTTATATATTGCCTTTCCCAACAGAATGTGAGAACTTGTCTTTTCACTACTGTGTGTCTGGTGAAAGAGGAGTGGGCCCAGCATTTGGTTCGGGCTCATTAAATCTGTGTTGAATGAATGAATGCCAGTGGGGCAGAGTCTGTCAAGTCAGGGGAAGCTTTGTATTCCGAAAACACAAAATTGGTTCTGGTAACTTAAATAATGAAGACTGTTTAAATAAATAACTATACTTACAATTGGCCTAGAGAGGATTTCTAAATACAGGTATTGGAGAAGGCACAATTTAGGAGAATAGGCATATTCTTGTCCAAAGAGGATCAGGATGGAATTATATCAGTCTACCTTTGGTTCATCCTTACTATTAAGGCAAAAACAAACCAACTGCTCAAAATAGTTTTTTTATGTTTAGTACCACCTTTTTCCTCCTATTTATCCTTCTCTTGAGAGCTCATAGTAACTGTTAATTGTTACTGGCATTAAGTAGTCATTATATGGAAAACCATGTGGTGATTATTGAGTATTGAGTAGATGAGCCACTTGAGCTACAAGTTCTAATTTTTTTTAAAGTGTGTTTATTTTTGAGAGGGAGAGAGAGTGTGCACAGGGAAGGGGCAGGGAGAGAGGGAAAGAGAGAGAACCTGAAGCTCACGAACCATGAGATCATGACCTGAGCTGAAACCAAGAGTTGGATGCTTAACTGACTGAGCAACCCAGGTGCCCCCCCCCCCCTTTTAATGTTTATTTTTGAGAGTGAGAGCGTGAACAGAGGAAGGTGCAGAGAGAGAGGGGAACAGAGGATCCGAAGTGGGCTCTGAGCTGACAGCAGAGAACCTGATGCAGGGCTCAAACTCAAGAACCATCATGAGATCATGACCAGAGCCAAAGTGGGATGCTCAACTGATTGAGCTACCCAGACAACCCATTTTTAACTTTAGTTTTGAAAAACATTTGGACTTACAGAAAAGTTGCCAGTGTTTTACAATAAGCTACTTGTATTTTTATGTAGATTCACCATTTATTAACATTTTGACTCATTTGCTTTATCATTTTTTTTTTTAAAGCTTATTTATTTGAGTGAGAGAGAGTGCACGCACAAGGGAGGAGCAGAGAGAGAGGAGAGAGAGAATCTCAAGCAGGCTCCACGCTGTCAGAGCAGAATCACAAATCATGAGATCATGACCTGAGCCAAAATCAAGAGTCAGACACTCAACCAACTGAGCCACCCAGGCACCCTGCTTTATTACTCTTTATATACATCTTATTATTATTATGACTATTTTATTTGATTTTATTTTTAAGATTTTATTTTTAAATAATCTCTACAGTGAATGTGGGGCTCGAACTCACAACCCCAAGATCAAGAGTCGTATGCTCAACTGACTGAGCCAGCCAGGAGTCCCATCAATATTTCAAAACTTTTTGCAAGTATGTTGCAGACATCAAGACCCTTTTCCCCTTGAACACATTGTCTCCTGAAAATAACATTCGTCTATGTAACCACAGTTTAGTAATCACATTTAGGAATTTAAACATTGATACAATATTTTTATTTACATAATATATGATAACATTGATATTTTGCCAGCTAGCAATTTTTTTTCTGTTCCAGGACAGTGCAGTACAGTTGGAATTAAGTGTATTGCAATTAGTTGTATGTCTGTTTAGTCTCCTTTCTTTGTTCCTCAGCCTTTGTCTTTCATTACATTGACCTTTTTTTCTTAAAAGATTCTGTTTTTAAATAATCTCCACATCCACGGCGGGTCTTGAACTTACAACCCCAAGATCAAGAGTTAGCATACTCTTCTGACTGAGCCAGCCAGGTGCCCCCATTGACATTTTTGAAGGGTTTAGGACAGTACTGCAGAATAATCTTCAGTTTGGGTTTGTCTGATGTTTCTTCATAGAGTATAGATTTTTAGCATGAATATTAAATGCTTATTTATTTTTGAGAGAGAGAGAGACACAGAACGTGAGTGGGAAAGGGGCAGAGAGAGAGGGAGACACAGAATCCGAAGCAGGCTCCAGGCTCTGAGCTGTCAGCACAGAGCCCGATGCGGGGCTTGAACTCACAAACTCTGAGATCACAACCTGAGCCCAAGTCGGACACTTAACCCCCTGAGCCACCCAGGTGCCCCTTGGCATGAATATTTAATAAGTTATCCTGAATTTTTCTCAGAATATCATATCAGGAAGCATGTAATGACTGTTGGTCCTATTATTGATGTTAATTTTGATCTTTTCTTGGTTAGGGTGTAAAGTTATTCTGTTCCTCTTTGTAATTAACAAGTAATCTGTGTGGGAGATTCTTTGAGACTATGTAAATGTCCAGTTCCCAAAAAAACTTACCTGAAAGTATTAGCATCCACTGACTCTTGTCAGGGTCAGTTATTTAATTTATTAAAAAAAATTTTTTTTAATGTTTTTATTTTATCTTTTTTTGAGAGAGAGTGTGAATGGGGGAGGGGCAGAGAGAGAGGGAGCCTGGCAGAATCTGAGGCTCAGGCTCAAGCTATCAACTGAAATGACGATGGAAACAAACGAGAGAACAAATTAGTCTGTGTGTAAGGCAAGTGGGACCATTTAACCTTTATTTGACATGCCTTATGTCCTAAGTTAATTCTGTTTCCAATACCTGATGGTTCGTAAATGATTTATCTTTTAACTCTTACAACTAACACACATGTATTAGTTTTATCAGTTGGCATTCTACCGTAAGAAAGACTTCTCCCTGTGTTTAGTGTTTACTTAGTACTAGCATCAGTGCATGGATTATTTTATACAATATGTCGTAATTCATTATATGATCCATTATTTAGTTTGATGCTCAAATTATCCTGGATTTGGCCAGTGCAAGCTGGCTGTACTGACCGTTTGAATATGTGCTCATTATTTTCTGAATATTTCCACCACTTTGTGGCATGCTCTTTATTTGGGCCTATCTTCTTTCCTTACTTACACCCAGTGTAGGTGTGGCTTTCTCCAAGGAGTCCTGATCCTTTTTTTTTTTAATTTTTTTTTTCCAGATTTATTTATTTTGCAGGACAGAGAAGAAGGCAAAACATGACAGGAGGGCAGAGAGAGGAGACACAGAATCGAGGAGGCTGGGCTCCAGGCTCAGCCATCAACCCAAACAGAGCTAACCCGGCAGGAGACTCAGAACTCGCGGTTAGCGAGATCGTGAGCCTGAGAGTCCGGACGTAACCACTACTTAAGCACAAGCCTCTGATCCTTTTTAATGGGGGAATAGTTTTTAGAAACCAAGATCTGGTCATTACATATGCTTATTTCGACTGAGATGTCATTGCTGCTATGCTCTTTCAGCAGAGATCCAGGAAGAGAGAGAGAGAGAGAGAGAGAGAGAGAGAGAGAGAGAGAGTGTGTGTGGGTCTGTGTGTGTCTGTGTGTATCCTAATCCTGCATCACAGGGTTCTTCCTTTCCTTCCCCCATTCTATATTTGTATCTTTCTTCTCTCACAGTTAGTACACTTGGCTCTTAGCAACTTCAGTATGTTTACTTGTTTACCCATTGGTATAATACACACTAAATTGCTTTAGAGTTTCTATACCTGACCACTGCAAATAACAAACCTATGGAGTTCAAGATTTCTTTGATCTTCTTTTTTTTGTCTTTACACTTATGTGGTCAAAGGACTATTCTGAAAGTTACTTGGATTAGTTTTTTCCCCCTTTCTGTGAAGTTACGTTATTCGTTTGAAATATAGTTAGTCTTAGGTTTCTGTTTAGTCAGTTTCGGTTTTACCTCAGAATTCTCTTTAATCTAATTTTGTTTTCAAATATGTAAAACATTCACAAGATTCTGAAAGTTAAAACTGTAATGCACACACACACATCTCTCGCTACTTCTCTCCTTTGTACCATATTCTTGTCCACTCCTGTAGATAACCAGTTTCATCGGTTTTTGGTTTTCCTTTACCTTTTTTTGCAAAACTCAGCATATTTATATAAATACTAGTTTCTTATACAAATGGTGGTATACTGTACATGTGCTCTTTTAAATTGCTTTTTTTCACTTAATACTGTATCCTGGAAATAATCCATAGCAGCCTTTGCAGATCTTTCTTTCCTTTTTCCTTTCTCCCAGCAGCATGGTTTTCCACTATGTGGCCGTGCCGTGGTTTATTCAACCAGTCTTTGAGCTTTAATGTTTTATGATTGTTTGAAAATACTGTTCTTGGTATCTGGGAAATTACAATTTAAGAAGTTAGGCCAGAGGATGGGATTGGGATGGAATTGGGGGTGGTGCGGTGATAGAATAAAATATTTATAAAAATGGAACTGTTACATCTTTGGCTTATTGTAAACATTCATTTGTACGTAGTTGTCTTAAATCATTTTTTGAGAAATACGCTATTTTTGCCTAGACTCTTGATCATTTAAATAGGACAGAACTGATTCATTCATTTTCTTTATGCGCTAAGGGCTTCTTGAATTCCTCCGAGCTCTCTGAACTTCCCGCTGGGCCTGAGACCGAAGGCTCTCTCAAGGATCAGCTAGCCTTAGCAATTGGTAAGTATTTGTAAGCATTGTGGGAGCTGGAAGTTGAGAACTGGATCTCATGGTATCTTTGGTATTCTCCACACTCAGATCAAGAATCACAAACTCATGTGCCTACATGGGTCAGATGCTATGAATGTGGGAAGTGGGTCGTATTGTGTGGTAGATATTAGTGAGCTGTAGGCTCCCTGAAAAGCTCACGCTCTGCTGAACGAGACCATTACCAAGCTCCAGCCATTTGTTACCTCGGGGTCCCAGTGTGGTCAGAATTTTGAAATTCCTTTAAAAGAATTTAGCTTTGTATGCAAAAATTTTAGTTTTTTGGCTATTTGCTGCTAATCACAATCATTTTCGGCACTGCAGGCCTCACTTTACTGACCAAACTAATAAGCATGTCTTCAGGCAGGGATGGCCTTTGGCACCTTCCAATTGACTACCTCTCTCTCTACACTGTGGGAGAAACAGTACATCAGAAGTCATCTCACCTTCTTTATGGAGGGATCCAGGAATATTTTGGGGTGCCGTGTGTAGGAATTTCATCTCTTTTTTAGAACAATCTGATCCTGAATTTGTGAAGGTACGTTCTCTCAGAACCCACTGGCTGCAGGCACCACATCTGGGTCATTGTGCCAGAACGGGTGGGGATTTTGCTTTCTTTCTACATGTCCTTGATGGAAGCAGGGAAGTAGGGATGGGGTTGAGCTTGCTGGGAATTTACTACTCATCCGACGTTTCCAGTCAAGGCATCAATTCTGTTTTTATCAGGTTATCTTGAAGTATGTATAATTCAGTGAGTCATAGATGAGAAACCAGGCAGACAGCTGTGAATGAGACTTATTAAGAAATTCTGGAAGAACTGGGTGTTTCAGCCATGTCAGTTTCTGAGAATTAACTGTTGTTTGGATGCTTTGAGTATTTTTTTTTTTTTTTTTT